ATTCTGTATTTTAAACTTTTAGTATAAATGGATTATTTTGAATCTTCATTATCCTCAATACTAATATATCTTGATTTGCTCTTTCTCTCCCTCTCTCTTCTTTTTGAAATTTCTGTATGTCATTGAAGTGTATAATTTGGAAATTAAAAGGCTAATCTCTTATATGCACATATGCATGTTTTGTGTAGAGAAGGCTTTTAAAAACAGTTGATTATAAAAACCTGTAAGTAATCTAGTTTTGTATAATTTTATAAACTAGACACGAGGTTTAGACTTCTTTTTTTGATCAACAAATAAATAATGAAGAGTCAGAAACTGAAAAAGAAGGCTACCTGTACACTTATGTGTATAGGGCCTTGAGTAGGGGGTGCTAGAGATTGAACCCAAAGCCTTTAGCTACAGCCCAGATGCTTTTTAAAAACTTTTTGTAATTTTTTTGATATGTGTCTTACTAAGTTGCCCAGGGGCTAGGACTTGTAATCCTCCTGGCTCAGCCTCCCAGAGTGCTAGCATTACCGGTATGCACCCCTATGCCCAGGTATGGGTATAGTTTATGGTTTTAACACTGACTACCTCTTAGCACCTGTGTTTAAATGTGTCCTGTTTAATGTCATAGCGCTAAAACTTTTCAAGTCAGATTTGCCACCACTTGGCTGTTACATTATTCCTCACCTTTCATTTTGATACCTGTCTTTGCAGATACAGGTGTCCCGTTAAGTCAGAGGCAATTTTCTTCAGTTTTTAAAATGCTCACAGGGTTTTAGCCAGCTTGGATAAGGATTTTTCATCAAAATTTAGATTTGCCTATTTTCAGTGTTTCAGTTTAATACAACTCTTTAGTTGTAGATGGGGTTTTTTATGCAGTAAGTAGCAATATCTTATCTTTATACCATAAGTAATATACATATAATGAGTACATACTATAGTAGAAACTGTATTTTAAATCGTGTTTTGTTTTGATTTAGTTTCTTAAATCCTATTTACCAATAAAGTTAATAATCTTTTAACATTGTCAGGCCTTAGGAATTAACATGTTATAATCTTAAGAAATTGATTTTTAGTAATCAGCATAATAACTTCAGTTGAGTTGTTGGAATTCTCAGCATACTTTTCTGGACCTAGCATCTAGTCTGTACCGATTTTGTAAACATAGAACTGAAAACTCAGGGGGAGAAAAGCTTCCTCAACTTGAGATCTTCTCTCCAGATCTCCATTCTTTGGAGTTTCCATGAGTGTGACGTGAAGAACTTGGAACCATTGAGATTCAAATGTAGGTAGGTAAGTGTTCACACCAGCGCATGCGTTGATTGCCTTATATCTCTTCGTATATGCATCTGTATTGCACCCCCTCAGTGCCTTTCTTCCTCTTCCTCCCCATAGATCATGCAGGGCCTGTGTCATTTTGGTATTATGTGACTTTGTAAATCTGTATTTTGGTCAGTATGTGTCTGTGATGTGTGTCAGGAGCAGTTTTTTAAAAGACTTCAGACATTTATGACATTGTGTTGTCTAATGACTGTCTTCCACACATAAGTGTTTGCTATATCTGGGCCTGGGGTGCACTTTTGTGAGTTGCTGTTTGTTGAGCTCTAATAAACATTCCCCTGGAGTTGCTGGTATTGAAGGATGCCAGGGTCTTAGTCTTGTAGTTTTTCATGTATCCTCTCCAGTGTATTTAGAGCATGTGAATTATTTCTAGCTCTAAGTATTTCTTCCTGTTGGTCTGTCATTTAAAAGTCATCTTCCTTATTTCATTCATGATGGTATGGATGTCAGTTATTATTCTTATAAAATCACTCACAGAAACATGATCAAACTAGTTATTTGCTTCTACTGTAAGAATTAATGCCAGTTTATTCCACACAAATGAGACCCATCCTTGAATTCAAAAAGTTTTTTTTAAAGCCACTTAATGGTAACAAACTGTACCATTGTAAATTGTAACTGAAATTGAGAAGCTGACTAAATCTTCTTGGCTCAAGTAGAGCTTCTGTTCATAGAAGCAAGATGAGAAGTTCAGGTGCTTTATTAAGGTAATTTCTCTCAAAATAGCTATACATCAAAATCTGGGGTTCTACCATGCTTTTAATTTTTATTTCTTTTTTTCCTATGATATGTGCCAATCATATCTTTGAATCCACAGAATATCTTTTCCAGGTTTTCTTCCCCTCCCTGCCATCTCTTATAAAAAATGAGGTAATCCTTTGAACAATAGTGTGTAAGGTTTGGGGTCTGTAGACCCTCCTACACACCTAAAAATTACTACTGAAGAGCTGCAGAACTTCTGTTTATGTTGTATATGGTTATATCTGGTAATATTTACTAAAAAATGAAATGAGAAGTTTTGAAAGTAATACATCTTTTAAGTTAACAATTATAAGTAATATTTTTAATAAAAATTTTTAAAATTGCTGTGAATATCATTTTTTGATGAAGTATACAGTAGCTAGCACAGTTTGGCAATAATTTGGCCTGAGTTCACACTAATGCGCTAGCAGTTGTACCTTTTTTTTAATATGCTATCCACAAGAATTTTGAGTTTATTATCTTCTGAAAGAGTTTCAGGGGTCTCACTTTAAGAAACATATTCTAAGATGCCTCTTTAGTCCATAAAAAGAAAAATTTATATCAGCATGTTTGGGTCCTCTGAACCTTCATTTTTTGGAGAGAATTTCTTGTGTAAAATATATGAACAAATTTAGTTTATTGTTTTCCTTGGTGTAAATATAAAAGAAAGCACCTAATTAGTCCAAAACAAGCTTATCTAACTAGATAACTAAGTACTTTTTCCTTGTGTGTGGTATGTGTGTTGTATGTTGAGTATATAATCAATTTGGCTCCCTGAATAGTTTTAAAATGCATTTTCATGAATATGATTGTCATAAATGTTGGCAATTTATACCATTTGCCTTTTGGCTGTGCTGCTTTTCCTCCTTATCTGCTGCAGTTTCAAACATTACTTGGTATAATTTGTATGCCAAAGACTTTGTTAAACATTACAGCATTTCTTAAAATTTTGCCCTTCTTTTCTCTGGAACCAAAATCTGTAACATTTTAAAAGCAGCCCAAGATAGTGGTAGAGATGCCAAATTAGGCAAACAGGAGGAGCATCTTCTTAAGTGGCACTCTCCTGTTACCTGCTTTGTAAAATGTATTCCCCTAATGTCCCTGGACTGTTGGAGTCTTATGAAGTTTATGCCAACAGTACTGAGGGGGTGTGTGATGCTTACATATATGCAGACAGAGCAGAGTTTGACTCACACTCAATGCATGCGCTAGTGCTCACGCTTACATACCTGACATTTCTCATGATTCAGCAGCTCGGCAGTTATTGATGAGCTAGTCAAAATGAGTACATAAAAATACTGCTAAAGAACAAGGATATGCAGAGGGGATCCGCTAATAAAGAATTCTATTTACTGGTAAGTAACCATAATGATTCCTAACTTGGAAAACTCCTTGGTGCATGGTCATTATAAGTATTATAATTTTAATGCAAGTGTTCTGTCCCTATGACATATAGGTATAACACTATCTCCTGTAACATAAATATTTTGCCTATAAGTATTGTGAGTCATTTGTTGATTTCTGTGTTGTATATTCAAGAAAAAAATTGCATTCTGTATAAAAACAAATTTGTTGGGTATATATTCTTTTTAACTCTAATTAGAACATTATAAATCTATTATAAAAATTGAAATTGCTTTATTAGACTATTTGAGCTCTAAATGTAACTTTCCCATTTTCTCAGGTTTATCTTGTATTCTTGTTTTGGTAATAGGACCCTTTCTAGTATAGATAGCCCCCAACAACCAAATCAGATAATTATCTGTAATTACCCACTTACCAGTTTCCAGGGACAATAAGCTTCTATCTCTTCTGGCTATCTCTTCATACCTCACTTTAAAAACCAGGAAGAATTAACAGCAAAGACCACCAGGGGTGTAATCAACTGCCATGTAAAACAGGTCAACTCTACCTTTGTGTTTTTTAGTGATAATCACCCACCTGCCTCCTTATCTAAGAATAAGAGATAAAGAGATTAGAAAGCAAACCTTTTAAAGGGATTTGTGCTGTGGAGGAAATGTGTTTTATAAGAAACAGAGTTCTATCTTTAGATTCGAAATAGGTAGTTTGAAAATGGCATATAATATTAAAGAGAAAAATAAAATTTGAAAGAACATTCTTATATTTTTGGATGGATCGGGATTGACAGTAATAGTGTTTTGTTTGACATATAAATGTTTACATGTCTTTCTTCTTAGTTTATTCTGAGACTAGACTTCCATGAAGAGCCATTGTGGAAACCCAAGGCATATTTAGTACCTTAAAACCAGTTGCTCAGAAAATGAAGGCAACAATGACAAGGTCATGCTGGCCTTGGTCTCTTATCGGAGCCTATCTCTTTTACTGTGATGATCTGTCTGGCACCTATAAATAAATAAAACTTTGAAGACAAAAAAAATTTTAAGTAACTAATTTTGTTCCTTGTTAAACTACATTTCCTTCCTGGCAGTCAGTGAACACTCTGCTTGTAAATACTCCCAGTCAATCATTTTATGTGTCATATACTGTTTATTTTTTATTATCAAGTGACTATATTTAAAAGATCTTAAGATTTTTATTCCCTTTCTTAGTTTTTACTTGCTTTTTTTCTTAACCTTTTCATGTTTTCTATGACTTCAAATAATTTAAATGTTACTTTTTTTAACCTTTTCATTTAAAAACGAATGACACTATTGATATCTTAAATCATTAAAAAACAATTAATGGTTAATATATTCTTTATTTTCATTTCTAAATTTTTTGGTCATTTGAAAGATTCAAATCTCTTCTGAACTAATGTGTTCTAAATGTTCAAGTCAATCATGAATGGACTTCATTTCCTTTTATTGTATTTAGATAGCACTGAGTTTATACTAGAGAAGAAAACAGGTGTTTTCCTACAGTATTATTTGATTTGTGAACACTCTTCTTCCTCTGTTTTTCTTTTCTTACAGACTCCCTTCAAGCTCAACTTATCAATATGGGTGTTATCCCTACCTTAGTGACGTTACTGGGCATCCACTGCCACAATTCAGCTCTCACAGAAATGTGTCTAGTTGCCTTTGGTAATTTAGCAGAACTTGGTAAGTCCTGATCCTGGACCACAAATGGTATTAACTTATTAATACACTTATAATTTATTTTACATGTTAACATGGAATCCACTTAGATTACATTACTTTACTATTTTAGACATTTTAGATACTTGCTTCAATGTTTAAAAAATAGATCCAATTAGATCTAACAATTGTATTTATAATTAGAATTACCTGCTTCTTTATTTTTAAGTATTAAGATTTAAAATTTAGCAGCTTTGGTTGTGTACTTCTGTGGTAGAGCTCTTGCCTAGAATCTGAGGCCTTGCATTTGATCTCTAGCACCCACCAATATTTTATTTTTAAATTTGCAATGTACATTAGGATTGAATATTTTAAATTTTCTCCATGTGACTTTAGTATTTCTTGTTGAGGGATGGTCTAAAAATTGAGTTGTATGTTCAGGCAAAAAGACAAATATTGAGAAATCCTTGAAAATTAGAAGAAGGAAATCAGACCATTGCTTTGAAATCAGACCAATTGCTAGAAGCATTCTTGCCTTCTTAGAGAACTCCACAGGCTCAGCACTCTATTTCTTTCTGTTATTTTTTGTTCATTGTTTTCTCCTTGTTCACCTCCATTTTCCCTTCATTGCCATGACCCAACAGAAAGTTAATTTGGTTTGAATTTACCTCACAGCCACGTCCATAATAAAGTACTCCATGTTTTGTCATATCTGATTATAACAATTGAAGTCTTATTAATATCTCCATTTTATAAATAAAATCAAGTCTACTGTTTCTTTTTCAGGTTCACATTCTTGCATACTATACCTTACATACTACACAGTATTTTACTTTTGACTTCAAGCTTAAAGAAATATGATTATTTGTCAGAGATATTTTTAAGTCATTTTTATTCAATGGATCTTGTCACAGTATTTCTGATTTTTTTTTTGTCTTCTGTCCTCTGCTTTTCATATTAGCCTGATTAACATGTCTCCCCATCATTCAAGTGAGACCAGGAGGAAAAAACATCCTTTAGTGTTTCACAACATTATTTTCCGTTATTGAAGTGAACTACAGGAGTGTGTATCCCGGATAGCTGATAGAAATAAAACAAATTGTGTTATACTCACATACTGATAGCAGCAGTCTTTTTTTAACCAGAAAGATAAAAGTGATTAGCTCAAATCCACCTTAACTTTCCTTCATTCCACCAAATTTAGACTGCATCAATTCTTAGAACTGCACTGTACACTGCAGTAGCCACAAACCACTGATGGCTATTGAGAATTGAAATACAGATAATCTTGAATTGAGGTGTCAATGCAAGTAAAAAAATACATAATGCATTTTGAAGACTTAGTAGGTGGTTTCATTTTTAAAAAATGAGTTACTTTTCTGTTGGACCCTGGTGTTCTTGGAAATAAATTCTACCACAAAGTTATCTTTTACCCTGTAATGGTCCCTCCCCCTTCAAAGTTTTAGGAGTGTAGGTGGAAGAAAGCAAAGGCTTTTACCTAATGGTAAAAAAAGTCAGTACCAAATAAGGAAATGATAATCTTTGGATAGGCTATGCTATATTAAAGTTTATTTTCTGAGAATCATTCTATTTCTTTTATGACTATATGTCTCAATCTTATAAATACTTCAGGTTCAGGAACTTTTCAGAACTCTGCCTAACCTCATGAGAAGAGAATTAAATTGTTGGTTCATTGCACTCCAATAAATTGTTTTCCTCCATTCCTCCAGTGAAAGCCAAGGCAAAAGGATTAGTGACTATTATATCTCTTTTGATGAAGTAAATGTATAAAGAGCTGTGGTGATGGAAGAGGGTAGTCATTGACAGAGGTTACTTATAAGAGCCTTGCAGTTTTCAGAAAGAGGTCCTAGATCTGTTTTAAACCTTACCTTTACAGCAACCCTATGGAGTAAATAAGACCTGATCTTACATTTAATCTAACCTGGTAATTTTTTTAGTAATGTGAATTTACATTTATATATTAGAGAAGCTTCTTTCTGGATGGAAATTTATGAAAGACAGTTAGTGCATTTAATTTATCTATATTATGCAGATGAATGCACATTTAAAGCCTCTAATCATTCAGTATCCAAATATTGATAGAGCTCTTGCTATGTTTATGACATTACAATGCAAATATAAAATATTAACATTTTTTCAAAAGTGCACCTCAGAAACCTATATTGTAAATTGCTTTATTAAAGTTATTGAGGCAATAACTTTCCAAAGATTTTGTATTGTGGCCTGCAGTTTAAAAACCACAGAAATACACCTGAGACTGAACAGTATGTATCTACATTCAGACCACAATATTCTATTTTTTAGCATAATGGTCACAATCATAAACTGATTTCATGACTTGGTGAATCACTATGTAGTATTTGAAAAATCTAGCCTTATAATATTCCTATAAGGTGAAATCATTTGAAAATCTGTTTTATAATCTTCTTAAAAGAGAACTTGAATTCTTACTTGAATTCTTTAATAGTTGAAATACTATCATTTCTCATTTTAGTATCTATAAGTATTTTTGCTATGTGTGTAATACACATAGCTTTTCAGTTATGGATTTTACTAAGCCATTTGGCTTATTCAGCATAAAGTAATTAGAGATTCAGATTTTTTGCTATGTTAATTCTCAGTAGTGATGTCTTAATATTAGAAATATCTTGTTGAAAGAATACATCCATTCTTACAGGCTAATGGTTTAAAGTCTGTGCTTTCTCAGCAGTGTTTTGATTGAGCCCTGGGGGCTTTAAAGATTACTGTACACTGGGATTGGAAGAGTAAAAGAAGTGTTTCAGTATTGAATCTCCAATCATTTTAGTCTTGGGGGGAAAAAAGAAAGGTGTGTTGAAAGCAAAAACAAAAACCTAGAAATAAAGCAGAAATATTTATATCATAGCTCTGTCAAAGGGTCATCTCAGTTTCTCATCCCTTTTTAGACAATATTTTTTTTCATTGAGTTTATTGGTACTTTTTAGGTGTACGGTACAGTCACACTCATCATTGGGATCTTGTACCTTTACATGATAGGTCTGGGTTGTCATTTTTCCCCTTGCCCCTGCCTTCCCTTTACCCCCTCCACCCTCTCTATTTACAAAAACTTTGTTTCCATTATTTTGTTTTCTCATATTTTTTCTTGTCCCTTATTTCCTTTCCCCTACACCTTTAGCCCTTTTCTTCCTATGTCACATTGTCAGTTATACCATTTGGATCTTCTTTACACTTTTAGTTTTTCACACCAGAGAAAGTATTCAGTATTTACACATGTGTTAGACGGTATTATTTTAGATAGCCATCTACCTCTTGTAAATTACTTTCCAGTTTATACATCTTTCATTTGTTCTACTGGGTAGTACTTGGCACATGATATTTATAAAATGAATGGTGAGGAGATCAGTACAGTGCAGCATTAGAAGCAGAGTGGAAAGTTATTACTGGATAAAAGATTAAGCACAACTAATTTGGGGACAGAAAACAGCATGCAGAACTCAGGGATGTTGCTCTATGGTAGCATGCCTGGCTAGCATGCCTGAAGACCTGGGTTCCATCTCCAGCACTGCAGAACACACACAGCATACAACACAGGATATCAGCATAGCATTGGCCTGCCAGACAGGTAAGAGCTAAGTAGAGAGTTGCGAGGACAGCTTTGCCTACTGTTCTGTTTTCCATGGTAAACTAGGAATATGCCTATATACATTTAAACTAGTTTTTGCCCACTTCTGTAACCGCTCCTCCTTTCCCACCAAACTGCTACAGGTTTCTGTTCCTTGTGATCTAGTATTCTGCTTTCTTACCTTATTGGTCCTGATTCTCACCCTTGGCAATCTCCATTTGCTCCTATAGACTCAGTTTGCTCCTATAGACTCAAACAGTGTCTCTGTATTGATATTTTCTTTTTTCTTTTTTCTCATTAAGTTTATTGGTACATTTAAAGCAAACAATGGTTACATTTATCATTGGGATCGGTATTTTCTTAAATCCCAAAATGGAAATGGCTTTAATATGACAGAATTCATGAGACTTAATAAGGCAGAGCTCCTTTGTTCTTTTCTTTTTGCCCTTCTGAAATATATTGCATTAAATTTTTTCTTCACTTTAAACTATTATATATTATTATTGATCAAAACCATACAAATTTCTGTTAATTAACATTTATAAGATTTTTTTTCTGGCACAAAGTAACACCCGTAATCAGGAATGCACAGGAGAGAAAGTAGAGGCAGTGTAAGTAAACAATATTAACAAGAAACTTGTTTGTAACAGTGAATGAGATTGGATAATAGTTGAAGACAGAAGTAAGGTAAGGAAGAACGTTTGGGTGGATTTGCAGTTAGAGATCAAATCCATAGCCTCATAATGCTGAACAAGCTCTGTACTGCAGAACTATCTTATCAGAACTTTGAAGTTTCATTGATGTGAGAATTAGCTCACATAAATGCAGCTTTTCTAGAGTATGGGAAAGAGTTTGGAAGTGCTGAAGAGGCAAGAGGGAATGGGACCCCCAGGGTCTTTGAAGATTGGCCTTTCAGTGAGTGGTCATGGATTGGTATATAGGTCAGTAGTACAGTGCTTGCCTTGCATGTGTGAAATGTTGGGTCTGATTCCCAGCACCACAAAATAGACACAAGAAATAGTCATGTCGAGAATAGTACAGAGGGCCGGGGATTTGGCTCAGTGACTCCATCGCCTGCCTCACAAGTGCAAGGTCCCAAATTCGATCCCTGGTACAAAAAAAAAAGCGGGGGGGGGAATAGTGCAGAAATGTAGTAATGCTAAAGAAAGAATGATGGCAGCCTTTTGCCATGTAAAATGCTATCTATTATAAATAATTTTTTCTTTGACTAAAAGCCTTGAAACTATGAATTTATGACTTAGGAACTTTACTGTTGCTATGTTACCTAAATGTTTATTATGCTAGTGAACAGTTTTTATAGTCTCAAATATAATTGGGTCAGAATGTTTTCTCTATATCCTTAGATGTTTTTCTTTTTTGTGAGCATTAAAAATCAATTTGATTGTTCCTGTATTTGAAGAGCATTTATATTTAGCAGTGGTACAGAATGAGCAAGTACTGTATTGCAAGTAGAAAACAAATTTCTGGGTTTCATTGTGTTTACTTATTCTAAATTTTCTCCCCTTTGGCTTGCAGAGTCAAGTAAAGAACAGTTTGCCAGTACAAATATTGCTGAAGAGCTGGTCAGACTCTTCAAGAAACAAGTGGAGCATGATAAGAGAGAGATGATTTTTGAAGTTCTGGCTCCTTTGGCAGAAAATGGTGAGAAAATAAATACATCTCTTTGATTTTTGATCATGTGGATTTATTCAGGTTTTTCTCTAATATTGTTTAATTGCCAATTCTTTACCTCAAAACCCTTCTTTGTGTTATTAATGATGTGCTAAGCATTATTTTGGTATCTCTAACTTCAACTCCATTATCTCCTCCACAGTTGTTACCCACATTGGTGAAAGGTATTTTGGAAGTTGCTTTGATTTTAAAATCTTAGCAGAGATACTTCCGTAGCTAACCCATTTTTGTTAATCCCAAAAAAGCAAGTGAGAGGCTAAATTCTACTTCTGTACTCCTGTAAGGAAAAGGGAGTCAAAGTTAGAATCCTGGGCCTACAAACATTGAGCATGTTGGTGAAGCCTTGTTTGGATTAAAAAAAAAAGGTTTAAGGGATGCATCACAGGAAGACAAAGTGAAACAGAGGGAACAGACCCCCCCCCCCTTTTAATTTTGGATTAAAAAAAAAAGGTTTAAGGGGGATGCATCACAGGAAGACAAAGTGAAACAGAGGGAACAAACCCCCCCCCCTTTTAAGTGGTTTTCCAGTAGAATGTCTAGCATATAGTCACAGAGGACGACCCACATGAGGGGACAAGACACTAGACGCAATGACCAGCACAAAGAACAAACAGCCTTAGACCTTCACATACAGTTACTTGACAGTGATTCAAAGCAGGTATGTTTATGATGTTTGAAGAGTTAAAAGTAAGCTTGAGGGCCAGGGATTTAGCGCAGTGGTTCTGCTGCCTGGCTTGCAAACTCAAGGGCCTGAGTTCAATCCCCAGTACCAAAAGAAAAAAAAAAAAAAGTAAGCTTGAAAATTTCAGAAGGAAACTAGAAACTATAAAATATTACATAACAGATTTGGAAAAGAAATGAAAATTCTTGAATTGAAAAATTTAGTCAGAATTAAATACCTAATGGATGGGTTTAACCACAGATTAGATATAGTTGAATCTGTATAACCTTTGAACTGAAACATAGATTGGAAGGAAATTCTGAATGATATGTAAAGAAAAAGAGTAAAGTATACATAAATGAAAACAAGGTGGAAACATGGTGGCACATGGCTTTAATCCCAGCACTGTCAGAGAATAAAGCAAGAGAATCACAGGTTCAAGCCTAGCCTGGGCAGCTTAGTGGCTTACAGAGACTCTGTCTCCAAAAAAAATTTTTTAAAGGACTGAGCATGTAGTTCAGTGTGCAGGCCTTAAATTCAGTCCTTGGGGGAGGAGGGGATAAAGTGAAAGGCTCTCTCTATATTTTTTGGAGTCACAAAATGTGACAATTAACTGCATGTGTCAACTTGATTAAGAATTTCCCCAGCTAAATTGGATCAGTGTATCTCTGGGTGTGGCTAAAGAGATTTACTGAAGACAGAAGACTCACCCTAGGGTAGCTTGTCACCTGAATGCTTCCTATAAAGAGGAAACAAAGAAGGAAGGCTCCCTTCTCTTTCTTCACCTTGGATGTCCCCTTCTGGCTTCCAGCCCAGACCCTACATCTTTCTGGTGCAGACCCTTCAGCCTCCTGAGCTGGTCCAGGAGAAAATAAGAATTAAAGGATCCCAAGACTCTTGCATTATCAGGAGGAGCTATTAGACTCTGATTATTTAATGATTTCAACTTTTAAGGTGACTGTAGTTTTTAAAAATAATATGTAACTATCAAACAGAAAGATTTATGGAATTTTTAAAAAGACAGAATCAATACAAACCCAGAGAAGAAAAGGGAACCAGAAACATGGAATAAAAATAGGATGTAAAAATATAGTAGATTTAAGATGCAGTATTTCAGTAATTGCACTAAATGTGTGCGGCCTAAATGTTTTCCTTGAAAGACTACTTGTCACGGGATCATGTCAAATTTGTTTATTTTATTTATTTATTTTTGAGACAGGGTCTCACTTTATAGTTCAGGCTAGCCCTGAAGTCATTATGTAGCTCAGCTGGCCTCGAACTCTCGGCAATCCTCCTGCCTCTGCCTCCTGAGTGCTGAGATTACAGGCGTGAGCCACCACACCTGGCCATGACAAATTTAAAAGCTTCTGCACAGACAAAAAAAAATCAGCCTACAGAATGGGAAAACAATTTTTGCCAGCTGTATCTCACACACAGAACTGATGCCTAAAAAGAGTAGACCCCACCAAAATAAAACGAACAGATACTTCACAGAAGTATTTCAAATGGCCAATAAACACATGAAGAAATGCTCAGCATTGCTGACCTTTAGAGAAATGCAAATTAAAATAGCACTAAGATTCTAAGCTTCCATCCAGAAAGAATGGCTGTCATCAGAAATTAATAACAAGTGCTGGCAAGGATGTGGGGAAAAGGATCCCTTTTATACTGTTGGTGGGAATGTAAAGTAGTAGTACAACCATTTTGGAAATCATTGTAGAGAGTCCTCAAAACACTGAAGCTAGAAATTCCATTTGACCCAGCTCTTCTCTTAGATATCTACCTGAAAGAGTTAAAAACATTACGTAACGATGAGCCATACACACCCATGTTGGTGTCAGTGCAGTTCATATTAGCTAAATCTTGGATGTGGCCTGTACATCCATCAATAGGTGAATGAGTAGAAAGAATGTAGTATTTATACACAATGAAGGGCTGCTGTGCCATAAGGAAAGATAAACTTGAGTCATTTGTAGAAAAGTGGATACAGGGCCAGGGATTTAGCTCAGTGGTGCCGCCGCCTGCCTTGCACAAGTTCCATCCCTGGTACAAAAAAACAGAAAAATGGATGCACCAAGAACATAATATTAAGTGAAATAAATCTGACATACAAGCTGAAATATCATTTCTTTTATATGAGAAGAGCAAGGTATAAATAAAGAGCAAAATAAAAGATCGTAGGAAGTAAGAAAGTAGATATTTCTCTAAGGTGAAGGGGATCAAGAGGAGGAGGAGAAAGAAAGAAAATGAAAAAAGGAGGTAAAGTTTGCTATATACCTTACCAATTCCCCACAATAATTGCATTCTTTTTTTTGGTACTGGGAATCAAACTTGGATCTTTGCATTTCTGAGGCAGGCACCGGAACCACTAGGCTAAATACCTGGTCCCTAAATATATTCTTTATAAACTACAAACATGTACTAATAAAATAGTCTATTATATCAGTTTTCTTAATTATGTTCCTCAAATTTTTTATATCATACTTTCTCCTGCTTGTTCTGTAAATTACTGAAAAACGTCCTAAAATATTCCATTATACATATAGATGTCGCTTTCTCTTCACAGTTCTGAAAACATTTAATTCTTACATTTTGGGGTAATGTGTAATTGTTTAACCCTCCAAGTGAACTGGACCTTTTATTACTATAGTCTTTTTTTTTGTTCCTTTTTCCTCCTCTACCTCCCACCTCCCTCTATTTCTTGTTCCCCTTCTAATAGACATATTTTAGAATCATTTATAAATACTTGTATTCATCATGAAATAATCTTCAAATTCCAAAGGATTTTAAGTTGTAGAGAGTGCTTCTTTGACCTAAGTCAATACCCTAGTAACTAATAGTAGATAGCTAGGAAATGTCTGCTTTAATATTAAAAAATTTGTTTCCCATACCTCAGAGATCAAAGAACAGCTATATTGAAAATTGGAGGAAATATTTATAATAATGAAAATGGAAATAAAATGTTTTTCAAATCATGTGTGATAGAGGTAAAGCTAAAGCTATACTGAGAGGGAATTTTGTGCTTTACATCAATATATTAGAAAAATAATATCACTGAAATCAGTGAGTTCACTATTCATTTCAGGAATTTAGAGGAAAAGAAACTCAATACATGGAAGGAGAGCTAGAATTATTGAAGTAAAAACGTGATAATAAACTATAAGCATTAAACTTTTGAAGTTTAGCATGAAAAGACTTAATTGGTAAATCCCTAAAGTAGGATCAGTCAGCAAAAAAGAGAGACAAAGCACAAATAACTGAAAATCAAGACTGCAGAAGGAGACCTTACTACAGATCTTACAAGTACTAAGATGTTAGGAACACCATGATCCGATACATTTAAAGTATGCATGACACAGGAAGTAATAAAAAAGTGAAATAATTATATTCTTCTGGAGAGGAGGAAAAGCAAATATACTTACTAGTTTGTCTAAAACTGTAGCACATTAATTCTAGGGCTATAGTTAAACTAATCATGCCAGAGACTGCATTTATTTTGAAAATGTAAAGCATGTGACCTCACATTTAAAAAATCCATTTGATATGATTGTCCTTTTATAATTTTTTATAATTCTTACTAAACCAGTACTAGGAGGGAATTTCTTCATTCTGAGAGGGGTATCTACTAGAAACCTATGGAAAATATCACATTCTGTGTTAAAATGAAAAGCATATCATTTGACATTAGAAATGTGGAGGTCTGTCCCTACTTCTCTTCAGTATTGTATTGTAGGAATCCAGTGAAGGAAGGGAGAGAAATAATACTGTCATTATTCATAGACTTTATGGTAATGTATGTTCAATTCCAAAGAATCTATTGGTCAGTTATTTTTAATTTTTTGACAGGCTTCTAGTCCAAATGGACAATAAATTCCTATAGTTCCATATACTGGCAAAAACGAAAATATTTTAAAATAGTTTATCATAGTATGAAAACTAAGAAAAACCTAAGAATGAACTAATAAAAGATTTGCCAGTTCTCTGACAGGAAACTAGAAAATCATTGAGAAAAATTAAGGACCTAATTAAATGGATTCATAGATTGGAAACCTCTGTTGTACGATATGTAGATCTCCTCCCACTGTTGATTTGTGGACTCAGTACATTTCTAATCAAAAATCCCAAGAGGCCAAGAATAGCCAATTGTCAGTCTTTCCATTGCTGTTTTGAGATACCTGAGAAAAGCAATTTAAAAGGAAAGCTCTATTTTTGCCTATGGTTTTAGCGGTTTCAGTCAGTGTTTGAATGATTCCATTGCTGTGAGCAAAACATTATGGTGGAAGGTTGCAGAGTGAAGCGCCTCGCCTCCTTGCAGCCAGAAGCAGAGAGTGAATTCAAGAGCGAGAGGAGGGGACTGGGGACAATATACAGTTGCCACAGTCATGCTGCCATGATCTAATTCCTTCAGCCACACTCTATTCCTGTTTCCATGGCCTCCTAATGCAGTCAAATTATGAAGTTAGAGCCCTCAGGATTCAGTTACTTCCATAGTCCATCAGCAACCAAACCTGTAGCATGTGTTTTGGTGCACATTTCAAATCCAGACTGTATCACCAAAATAAGGTTAAAAAGAATGTGGTAGCAGAGCTACCTGGGTAGTAATCACAAAATTTTATTCTAATGAAACTATTTAAAAAGACAGTTTCGTACCACTTCATGGATGGAGAAGATCACATAGCCCAGAAACACACATATTGGATTTTTACAATATCACTCCAAAACAGTCTTTTTAATAAACAATACTGGGATTATGAGAAAAACGTAATGGGAGACATTCTCACACACATTCACACACACACACACACTTCATACTATATTTAAAAAAATTTAACTCCAGATAAAATTTAATTCAGAAAAATCTATCAGATAAGAAAACATGGCCTTGAAGTATAGAAAGTTTTCTCAGACCACATAAAGCTCTAATTATAAAGGAAGGATTAATAACTTTGGTTACCTTAAGAGGAAAAACTTCCATTTTCAAAAGACATTAAAAGTGAAAATCCAGTAGGTGCAAGACTACACATATAATTGGGACAGGACTTATATGTATGATATATAAAGACTTCTACAAATTGTTAAGAAAAATAGAGAAAATAAACAAAACTGTACATACTGGACAAAAGACAAAATCCAAATGACTAACATACCATGAAAAATGCTCAATTTCATAATAGGTAAAACCACTGTAAAGTAGTACTGTATACCTACTGGAAAATCTTATAATACTAAGTATTGATGAGAGTGTGGAAACTCATTAAGTGCTGGTAGGAGTGTAAATTGGTGCAACTCAGAAAATAACATGTACTAAAGCTGGGATAGACATTGCTCTGATTCAGCAATTCCATTCTTAGGTGTACGCCCACAAACCTATGTGCGTACTCACCAGGAGCTATTGCAGATGTATTCAGGGCAGCATTATTTATGATTACAAAAAATTGGAACAAACTTGTAACTGTTAAAAGTAAAATGACCAGGGGCTAGGGATTTAGCTCAGTGGTTTCACCGCCTGATTTGCAAGCACAAGGACCCGAGTTTGATCGCTAGTACCAAAAAAAAAAAAAAAAAGTGATCAGTAAATCATGGTATATTCAGATGGTGGGGAAGTTGCAGTTATGGAAAGGAATGAAGACAGCTATAAACATTAGTGTGCATTACCATGTGGTTTTTTTGAGACAGAGTCTCACTGTGTAGTTCAGGCTAGTTTTAAACTCAACTATGTAGCCCTGGCTGGCCTCGAAATCACAGCCATCCATATGCCTCAGCCTCTTAAGTGCAGGAATTGCACCACCTTGCCCAGTTCTAGTGTATATGAATCTTAGAAACACAGTGTCTAAGGGAAGGCCGGGATTTCGCTCTGTGGTGCCACTGCCTGTGTCCCAAGCACAAGGTAAGGTCCCAAGTTTAATCCCCAGTACCAAAAAAAAAAATAGAAAACATAATGTCTAACGGAAAGAGCCAACATTGAAAAATATGTATTGTTGATTTCACAAATATAAATTTCAAAAAGTTTAAACTAATTTTTTAGGAATGATTTATTTTGGTGAAATGAAAGTGTAGAAATCATCACTGTAACAACCTGGATATTGACTGAGAAGAATGCAGGGAAGGGCTTATAGTTGGGAATGCACAGAGGGGCTTTCTGGGTTGTTGGCAGTGAATTTCTTGGGCTAGGTGATGACACATGGTAATTTGCTTCCTAATAATTGATTATGCTTACTATTTATATGGTGCACTTTTCTCCACATTGGGCGTTGTCCACCATTTGAAAAGGCTACTTAACATATAAACGTATATACACGTGTATATACATTCATACATATGTGTGCAAACAGATAGATAAATACAGATGTCCTTAGACAAAACATTGTTCATAAATGTGCTAAGTTGTCTGCCAGAATGCCTTGCTAATCCTAATTAAAACAATTTAAGTCTCCTAAATATAATTCTTCTAAATGTATTTTGAATTACAGTGAAACTGTAAAAAGACATCTCTGGTTTTAATCTTAACACATTCTACATTTTCTAAATGACTTAGGTCTTACTCTTAGGGGAAAATTTATTTTTCATCTTATTTGATGGTTCTGCAAAATGAAAATTTTATCATGAATCTTCATTCGGTTTTATGCCAGAGAATTACCTATACCCTCCTTGCAGACTTTCACAATGAATATTTGCATGTTTTTTATTTGTGTTCTCTACATCTTTACCTCTGTTTTATAATCATGTAGTGAATAGAATGATATCTTTAAAAACTTGTTTCTGTACTTTGTGTATCCATGGTTTTCTTGGTACACAAAGGAAGAGTGATTCTGACATACAGTCTAAATTGGGGTTTGTATAGGTCAAGGATTTTAGTATTTTCATGAGTGGTTTGATTTGGTTTGGTTTGGAGACAAGATCTCACTGTGCAGTCTAGGCTGGCGTCAGACTCACAGAGTAGCCCATGCTGGCCTCCAATTCATGATCCCCCTGCCCCAGCCTCTCCCAGGGGCTGGGTTTACAGGCATGCACCACCTTGCCTAGCTAATAGTTTTCAATTTCTATCATGCTTCTAGTTCTTGCTTCTGTAACCAAGGAAATGCCCTACTGTCCAAATAACATAGTGTAAGTATACCTTTACAAAAAAAGCATTCCAGGTTAAATATTTTGCGTATTTTGAAATAATATTCAAAAGAAAATTAGTAGTCATGGAAAATAGTAAAAGGCTAAATTTTTACATATTAAAATGGCCTTTAAAAAGAGGCTGGGGTTTATTTAGCTCAGTGGTTTTGCCACCTGCCTTGCACGTGCAAGGGCCCAAGTTTGATCCCTGGTACCAAAAAAAAAAATTACCTAAAAGAAAATCTTAACTATATATTTTTTAAAGTCTTTTTTTTTTCCCCCTCCTAAATGGCAGGCTAAAACTACTGTTGTTGTATATGTGTGCACATACAGTTTAGGGAAACCAATGACCAAACTAAAATACATCTGAAAAATTTAACTTTAAAAATACCCATGTTACAATTGTATTTCTAAGGTTAGTCAGTTGACATTTCTCTGAAGGAGTATCCAAAGCATTTAGAAAAGTCAGTTTAAGTTAAAAACCGAGTAATAAGTGGTGTCTGCTAACAGGAGACAGATAGGAATGCAAATATAAAACCTCCAGTGGAATAATTGCTATAGTGAAAATATATTGAGAGCATTAAAATTGATTTCACCGGGTATAGTGAATCCCAGTGCTCTGAGTGGCTGGGGCAGGAGAATTGCAAGTTTGAGCCCAATCTGGTCTTATTAGCAAGACCCTCTCTCAAAAAAAAAAAATCTAATATAAGTCTTGAGATGTAGCTCAGTGCAGAGGTCCTGGATTCAATCCCTAGTACCACCCCCCAAAAAGTTATTTAATGTGGGGGTTGAGTTTACTGTGGTCATTTTTTTTAAATATAACTGATGTATACATTTTTCCCTATTTTAAGTTACCCATCAACTTTAAAGTTTTTTTTCTTTTAACTGATAACGAAAATTTTAAAACATTCAGAAAAGAATTTAGTATAATGAACCACTCTGTAACCAAGATCCAACAAAGCTTTAAGTTAATGAAACCTCAAGCCCTTTTTAAAAACATGACTTCTAACGTTCAGAAGGTTATAGAAATTAGCATTTAGCTGAGTGGTAGTACACGCCTGTAATCCCAGCACTCCAGGAAGCTGTGACAGAAAAATCAAAAATGTGCTCTAGGCTGGACAGTTTAATTTAGCAATACAATATCTCAAAATAGAAAAAGTACTGGGGATATATCTCAGTGTGAAGGTTCTGGGTTCGATCTCTGTCTAGTACCACACACACTAAAGCAAATTAGGATCTATATAAATAATGAGGCCAACTATACTTTTGGTGTTGGTTAAAATTTACTAAATAGCTCTTTATTTTTTAAAAGTATTCAAGACCCATTAGTAGATGTATTTTAAGTTTATATGACAATTATATTTGTTATAGGCATATGGAATATAGCATTGCCTTTAAATATAATCTTAAGATCTAGAATTATAGTTGATTGATAGTTACCTTCAGAGCTAAGAATTGATTTGTTTCGGAGATGCAATGCTTACAAGAATAATTTCAAATGGAAAAAATGAAATAAATTTTTGTGTATTTGAGCTACTGTTTTGAAACTCCTTTGTTTGAAGGTGATATATCTTAAGTCATGCCTTTTCCTGGTTACATAGTACATTGTTTATACCAGGTCTGTTTCATTTAAAATTTTGGTTGTTTTATTCACATTGTTCCTAGATGCTATTAAACTACAGCTGGTGGAAGCAGGCCTGGTGGAATGTCTACTAGAGATTGTTCAGGAGAAAGTAGATAGTGACAAAGAGGATGACATCGCCGAACTCAAAACTGCTTCAGATCTGATGGTTTTACTACTTCTTGGAGGTAGGTTGTAATTTGTGTCAAAGAATATGGTGGTCAAACTGTAAATGTTCTGAGTTTCTTCTTCAGATATTGTAGTGGGTGTTTTCTCATTTTCCTATCTCCTTGTTAATGTGATGACACTGAAAGTCTGAGCACATCATGGACTGGAGACAATGAGCCTGAGAAAGAGGAGCCTTTTTTATCTGTCAGTATTTGCAGAGCTGTTATGCAGATGAAAGAGCTGTGGTACCAGTTGGACCAAGGCTAGGGGGCCCCTTGAAACTTGTACTAGAAAACTCTAGACTCTGTTATCTAAAAACTTATAAAAAGAGTCATTACTTTTCCCATAATGAACCTAATAATTTGTGAGGCGTGTAGTCCCCATTGTATATTCATTTAGGAATATGGATTTGTTTCTCTTAATTCTTATTTAACTTATTTGTTTCATTTACTACAGATGAATCCATGCAGAAACTATTTGAAGGGGGGAAAGGCAGTGTGTTCCAAAGAGTCCTTTCTTGGATCCCATCAAATAACCACCAGCTACAGCTTGCTGGAGCATTGGCGATTGCAAATTTTGCCAGGAATGGTAAACATATTAGTTAGCTCTTCCTTTGTAAATCAAATGTTCTACATTTTCAATTTTTTTTATTTCCTGTCACATGTACTTAAAATAGTAACAGTTCAGAAATGTGTGTGCTACTTTCTTAATTTTTCAGAAGGCGGCAATACTTACAGTGACTTTCCTACCTTAAATTCTGATAGTTTAAAAATCATGACTAAGGTCAAGAGTGCTTTTTTTGAATGTTTTGTGCTGCGGATCTTAGTAAACATGAATGCCATTCTAATAGATGTCTAATATAGGTAATATGTTCTTTTGGCCTGGTGATTTTATTTTTACTTGGACAATCAGAGTACTCATTGTAGGGTTATTGGGCCCTGATTTATACTGTTATACCCACAAAACTCAAGTATGAATAATCCTCTGGTTCAGTACAGAGTATGTTATTTTGTTTTATAACATTTCAGAGACATAGACCTCTATTTATGAAATCTGTCACTCTTGCTATTCACTCTGAAAACTCATACTGTATCAGCAAATGTGAGTCATTTTTTTAGCTTAATTCTGTTGCAACATGAGTGGCTAATATGTAGCACAGGTTGAGTATCCTTGTACAAAATGCTCGGAAAGGACTGGGGAAGGGCTGGGGATTTAGCTCAGTGGTTCCACTGCCTACTTTGCAAGCTCAAGGTCACCGGTACCAAAAACAAAATGCTTGGAGAAGTATTTTTGGATTTGAGATATTTTTCAGATTCTGAAATATTTGCATATACATGAGATAGCTTGTGACAGAACCCAAATCCACACTGAAATTTATTTATATAATTTCCTGTACACTTTGTATTCCTGAAAGTAATTTTAGGCAATATTTCTACTTCACATGTGTTTTTAACATGATTAAACACATGAAATCAGTTGTGAAGTTTTCCACTTTTATTATGTCATTGCCCCCTCAATATTTGTACTTTAAAGCCCTTCAGAGTTTGGATTTTTAGATCAGGATTGCTCAATGTGTGTAATATAATGGTTGACTCATCCCACTTTACTACACTATATACTATATTCCAGACCAAAACACAACTATGTGCTATATACTGTACCATACTTTACCATACAGAAAAGCCATTGGCAGATACTTTATGTAGTTTCTAGTTCTCACAAATAATCAGACTCTAAAGGAGGAATTTTTCTGGTCATGTTTCTGATTTTAAAACTTTAAGAATCAGTAGTTACGTTTTGAGAATATTCATAATTGAACTTCTCAAGAAAATGAAAATCTATAAATCTGAGGGGAAAAATAATTGGAATTCATTTTATTTTGATGCAGCTCAATTTCCCCAATGTAGATCACTACTACAAAATGCTCCTAGACTTTTTTATAGAGGAATAAAATGATTTTTGTTTTATTCAGATGGAAATTGCATTCATATGGTAGACAGTGGAATTGTAGAAAAGCTCATGGATTTACTGGACAGACATGTGGAAGATGGAAATGTAACTGTACAGCATGCAGCCCTAAGTGCCCTCCGAAATCTGGCCATTCCAGGTATAATGTAAAAACAGGAGGGAACTCTGTAGAAAATTAAATCTGCCGTTGGGGACAGATAATTATTCTGTGATTTGTGAACCTTCCTGGGCCAAGAAAAGGAAAAAAGTAATCTTCAAATTGTTCACCCTTGTGAGATAGTGAAAGGGTAAATAAGGACCAAAATGTATAATAGATAATATGAAATAGGAAAAAACTGTTCAAGCAGAAAGGGAACCTGTGAAAGGGGGAGAGGGGAAAAGAGGAAAAAAAATCAGTAAAAGAAGGAAAGAATGGAAACAAAGCTTTAGTAAATAAGGCGGGGAGGGAAGGGAATGGGAGTAAAAGAAAAATCAAGCTATATCGTGTACAGGTCCAAATCTTTTTATGAATGTGATGGTTATGTATATTTAAATTGTACCCATAACGCTAATTTTTTAAATTGTGCACACTTTTTTTAATAAGTGGAGATCATAACGGTAATATTGTTTATTAATGTCTACAACATATTACTACAATCGGGTAAAGAACAATAAGGAAAAAGATTTATTAAAGTTGAGGAATATGCATTTTCTAAGTAAGCATTTTCAGAGTTTCTTAAATTATATGTGTAAAATTTTGAGATTAGGTTACAATGATTTTTGTATGTTTCACTCTTACAGACAAATAAGGTAATTACACAGATGAACACCCAGTCCTATCCTTAAAATTTACAGATAACAGGATTTTTTTCTATGTAGAAAAAGACAATAAGTGTGTGTTGAATTGAATGTTTATCATGAAGAATACTGACACCATTTTAACTATACTGTCTTTTTTTTGTAGTTGTAAATAAAGCAAAAATGTTATCAGCTGGGGTCACAGAGACAGTTTTGAAGTTTCTTAAATCTGAAATGCCTCCTGTTCAGTTCAAACTTCTGGGAACACTAAGAATGTTAATAGATGCACAAGGTAAAAGAAATGCTTTTCCAAGTTGCATTAATGTGTGATACTCTTACTATATCTTTGGGTGAAAAAGGACTTGGTTTTTAGCATTCAAAATTATAGAAATAAATGGCAAATAAATGTTAAAAGAGATTTGTTTTGGAACCGTGTTCATTACTCTTCTTGCTTCTTACACCTGGCTTTGAGTGGAAATTATAGTGTTATCTCTCTTTATTTGTACATACATGCTTGGTTTAACTTACATATAATCCTGTCTTTAACTTTGTCTTCAAAATCATACTTCAGTACAGAGCCACTCAACATTTCAAACAGGAAGAACATTTTTCTGTCTGCAGAAACAGAAATGAAAATCATGCTAGAAATGAATTATGTTTAATTAGGTATTTCCAGAGTCTAAACCCCTCTGTATTGATTGCTTTGTTACACTCTGCCAGAGTACTAACAGAATACCAGTATAAAATCATTTATTTTGTATTTTGTATGAAAGCTCTCAACTTAATAGAAAAAGCCAAATAATCCATCAGGTACAGAGTATGCAGTTTTTGCTTTAGTAAAATTACTGTGCTGTGTTTTTTCAACATAAATTTTTTTCACACTCTTAACATCTTTAATAATTTTTTTCATATGATTGGCTACTAGTGATTTCTTTTTATTTACCTTCTTTCCAACAGCAGAAGCTGCTGAACAACTGGGAAAGAATGTTAAATTAGTGGAACGGTTAGTAGAATGGTGTGAAGCCAAAGATCATGCTGGTGTGATGGGAGAGTCAAACAGACTGCTCTCTGCCCTCATACGGCACAGTAAATCAAAAGTAAGTTTCAGAGGAAACCACTGACTACAAAACATTACACTGGCCAATGTGTAGATCCTACATTATGAGCTTGCGTTTTTATGTTTTATATGAATATATTAATCAAAACTTTTGAAGAAAAGTGAAGATTGAGCTTTTTAAATTTTGTTTGGTTAATTTCGTCATGGTTAAGAGTAAGGCTTTGGTTGGGTGTGGTGGCTCCTACCTATAATCCCAGCACTCAGGGCCTGAAGCAGGAGGATCACAAGTTTGAGGCCCGAATGGGCTACTTACCAACTTGCAGGCCAGTCTGTACTACATAGCAAGACCTTGTCTCAAAACAAAAACAAAGCCCAGGGGGCTGGGGGAGTGTAAATCTATAGAATAAAATAGAGATGGGTTCACATTTTATGTCTGCCATTTAAATGATCAAGTGTCTTCACATCTGGGTATATTAATATATAAAAACTGAGGCAGTACTTACCTGCAAAGATTGTGAGGATTCAGTAAACTCATTGTACTATGTGTACCAGGACAGAAGAAATATTTACTGAATGGAGGGTGCTATTGCTGTTAATCCTGATGTTGTTTTATTTTATCATCACCACTGCTAATCAGCCTCAGTGTTAAGCATCTTCTGTGTGCCAGGTGCCAACTATGTTAGCTGTTAGTATTAAGAAATTAAATACCATTCGATCCCCGGTACCAAAAAGAAATGAAATACCAAGGCAGTCTATGACGCCGGGTGCATTCTCGTACCAGTGTCAGCCTCCATCACAGCTGTGTGGCATATGCTACATAATCAGCAAATGGACAGATGGGTGATGGTAAAGGGCTGAGTGGTGAGAACCCAGTCCAGAAACTCAGCAGTGTAACATTATATTATACAGGTATTTTTATGAACCTTTCGATTGTTACACTTGTATGGCTGCAATAGTGATTGTATGTGAGAAAGCCACTTTAGAATTCAAATTTACTATTATTTATTTATAAACAGATAAAATATGCCACAAGAAAAAAAGTAAAGGTATTCCCTTACTTATTTAGGTCTCTTTCATATAAATAATAGACTTTACCACCACAGCTGTCCCAGCCAGTTCACCTTGAGTATTCCCATCAGACACCATATCTTGAGATCTTCCACCGGGGAAAGACAGGTGTTAACCAGGGCCTTCTTAATTCCTGCCTCACCCAGACCAGCCTGAGAGCCTCTGCATCCTCGGTGAACCAACACAGGACCAAGTAGTGTGCTGGCAAGATGGCAGATTTCAAGGAAGAATGGCAGAGTGGCCTCCTTTGATAGCACTCTCATGCTGCTCCATCACAGCTCTTCTCTCGGGCCCATTAGTCCAACTTAACAGGATTTAGTTGCTTACAGTGTAAATACTAAATATACGTACTAAAATAGTAGGCAGGTAAAGAATTATCAATTGAGGATCCAAATGTAAAAAGAGCTAGTTAAGTATAAAAATCATACATTGTCAAGGTATAAGTGGAGGAAACAAGTGACCCTTTCCTGCCAGCTGCCCCGGCTGGTGTCACAGAAGGGATGGTCTTCTACAGATTAAGAGGGAATCCTTCAGGAAGAAAAGGGAAAGCAGGGAAGGCCCTTTCAGGTAATGGGACAAGTGTACCAAAGCACAAAGATGTAAGACAGCATAAATTTACAGGGAAACTGCAAATGTAGCAGTATCACTAGAGCATGCAGTGGGAATAGATGGAGGCAGTGGCCAGAGAGGGTGAGAATGGGAGCTTAAATTGAATAATATGCTAAGTGAGAGTGTATGGATTTGATTCTCAAGAGAATTGGGGCTTTTAAAGGATTTTAACCAGCAAAGTGCCATTATTTGGATTTCATTTAGAAAGATGACTCTAGAATTTAATGGAAATACGAAGAGTTTCAAAGTTACCCAAATAATTCGTATGAGATGATGAACATCTAAATGAAAAAGCCTTTGGGGTTGAGCAGTTTGACCATCTAACAGTTTTTTTCACACACAGATCTAACTGTTGCATTTCCTGATTCAACTGATCAGTAGCAGTGAGGATGGAAAAGAGGAGAACCTGAGAAAGGGTCCCAAAAGGCTGATAGGAGGAGGTGGTTTATGGACAGTTCCACGTTTGGGGCTTGGCACCGAGGTGGTTTGTGCCATTTATCAGAATAAGATGATGCAGGCTGGGATTTAACTCAGGGGTTCCGCCACCTGTCTCACAAGAGGAAGGTCCCGGGTATGGTCCCTGAACCAAACAAAAAAGAATCAGATGATGCAGGAAGATGTGCAGCTGGCACTCCCTCATTTGCTTACTCCCAGTCCCCACCACTGCTTTTCGAGGGGTTTACCTTCAAAATCTTTTAATCCTTGAATCTTTTCATCTCTTTGCTCCAGTCCATGAGTATTCCCACCAGTAGTTTAGAGTTTAGGCAAATCTTAACTGTTTTTTTACATTATAGAGAAACACGTTTTTTGCATCTGAGTTTGGAACTCTCAGATAAAATTCCTGTTACCTGTGGTAGTAAGGCCAACAGTCATGATTAATGCATTCTGAACAGTGTATCAACACAACCAAACCATTAGTGGGCATAAAAACATGTTTGCAGAAAAAGTTATCTCAGCTTTTTAAATAACAATATTTAGGAGCCAAAACTACTCAGATGTTCTAACATTAAGTTGAAATTTGAACATTTTAAGGCATTTTTGTGTACAGGGATCGAACTTCGGACCTTGCGCTTTGTGAGGCAGGTGATGAAACCACTGAGCTAAATCCCTGGCCCCAGTGAATTTCATGTATTACAGATTTTCCTTACCCTCATCTAACCTTGTACTCCCCACACCAAAAAAAAAAAAAAAAAAAAAAAAAA